CCGGGACTGTTTAGAGGCAAAGGCAATGTTTTGCGGGTTTCACGAGAAACCCCCCTTAAAAAAGGGTCACTTGGAAACGAAAAATGGGTCCCCGGTTACAAAACCCGTACAGATGTGACAGAGTGAAAGGGAAAAGGGGGGGGGGGTTGGGTGTAACATTGCAGAGTCACTTTTTTGCACCGAATGCTTAAAAGCCTTTAAAAAGATTTTAGTGGAAGTTTTGCAGTAAGGTTCCCAGAAACCCAAAAATAGTTTATTGTGGTAGTTTTTACAAGCCTCCGGATGCAACATCCCAGGGAATTCCAGGAAAAAGCTGTTAAAAAATTTACCACTGTCTGGAAAATCTTCCAGCTCTGACCCCAACCCTCTTGCTCCTGGGGGATTTCAACTTAAGGCACCCAAAATGGAGGAAAAAATAGAAAAAAATATTGTTGCAAATAATAACAACCCGGGGGGCCCGCCCCCGATGAAAACTTACACTCACACGAGCTTTTAAATCTCTGGGACAAAATTTAAATTTAAACCCGCAAATAATGAGCCTACTTAAATGGAGAATACATAGACCTCATCATTTTTACTAACAATGAGAAACTGATAAGGGAAAAAGTCACCATTTCAAAAACAATATACTCAGTCACAACTAATTTTAGGGTTTAGACAAGTATGCGTGGGGGGCCCCAACCGCAAATGAACTAGTCACGAGGGAGCATTTTACCCCAAATTTAACTTCAAACAAAAAAAATAAAGGGGGACCAAATAAACCAAATCCTAACCGAAATAACTGGGAAAATATACTAAGCAACACAGACCCCAAATTTGCCTAGAACAAAATTAACCGGTGGCCAAATCGATTTTAACAAGGCTTATTTCCCCTAAGAAAAAGGGGAGTAGATGTTTAAAAAAAAAAGACAGGCGCCCCCCTTTAAAAAGGGGACGGAAAAAATAACGGCGGCTTAAAAAGGGGCAATAATCGAAATGGAGGGGGGGAAAACTGGGCAAGAAATAGCAAAACCCTCGAATTAAACTAAAAAAAAATCCTTTAGGGGTCAGGAAACCCCGGGAAAAAAACTAAAAGCCCAAAAAGAAAACCCCAAAGAAACCCAAAGTATTTCTTTTTCCCCAAGCCCCAAAACAAAAACGAGAACAACGTCCAGTATTGGGCCCCTACTTAAACAAGATGGGTCCTACACGATGACGCAAGGAAAAGAGTGAGCTATCAAGTCCCCAAAATGACTCAGTTTTTAGCAAGCCGCCCAAACCAAAAGGGGAGTCGAAATCAAAAGAATTTTATGAGAGAGCCACAAAAATTTTATTAAACCAAGCCTTTTCCGATGTTTTCCTGATGCCAAATTTACTTCGAACAGGCGAAAAAATGAACCCTGCCCATGCACTCTGCCCCCCGGGCCCGACTCATGGAACTCTGTGTTCATCAAGAAAATGCCCAAAAAGCCCCCTTTACCGAGCCTTTTCCACCCATGGGGGGGAGCATGGGGCACTGGGGGCGTCCCACAGTTTTCTAAAAACCCAAAAGACATAAACCCCACTCCACAAAAAGGGGGAAAAAAGGAAAAGCAAAGAACTACAGACCCAAAAGCACAACATCCCCCTTTCATAAAAATCTTTGAAAGGGCCTAAAAGCAAGACCCCCCCCCATCTAGAAAAACCCCCCCATTACACAACCAGGGGGAACTTTGGGTTTTTGAAAAGGTCGCTCCGTCTGTCTCAAAATATTGGATCAAATACGACAAGGTCCTAAATGCACGAAAAAGACAAAAAAAAATTTCAGATGTAATATAAACAGACTTTTTTGCAAAAGCCCTCGACAAGCGTGACCATGGCGTAAAGCGCCAAAAAAGCGTGCTAAAAAAGGGAAAAACAGGAAAAGTTTGGGGCGAGGAAACTATAATTTCCCCACTAACAAACACAGAGAGTGTCGTCAACCCGAATAAAGTCGGAGGCAAACTAAAGGTGAAAAATCTGTTCCACAAGGAAAAATACTCCTCCCCTCTTTTTTCCTCCTCCCCCATATCTGCATAGACAAGGATTCCCGCCACGCAAAAGTGTCTTCCTTTGCCCGATGGGCACCCGAAACTGGGATGACCTGTCTTCCCTTTTCAGGGGCCTGCAAGGGGTTTCCCGGCGGACATCAACCAAATCTTTCAGTGGGCTGCAGAAAACAATATGAAGTTCAACGATGAGAAATTTCAATTACTCAGATATGGTAAATATGAGGAAATTAAATCTTCATCAGAGTACAAAACAAATTCTGGCCACAAAATAGAGCGAAACACCAACATAAAAGACCTGGGAGTGGCCCGGTGGCCTGGTGGCTAAAGCTCCCGCTTCACACACGGAGGGCCCGGGTTCAATTCCCGGCGGGTGGAAACATTCGACACGTTTCCAAACCTGTTGTCCTGTTCACTTAGCAGCAAATAGGTACCTGGGTGTTAGTCGACTGGTGTGGGTCGCATCCTGGGGGACAAGATTAAGGACCCCAATGGAAATAAGTTAGACAGTCCTCGATGACGCACTGACTTTCATGGGTTATCCTGGGTGGCTAACCCTCAGGGGTTAAAAATCCGAACGAAATCTAATCTAATCTAATCTAATCTAATCATGTCGGAGGATCTCACCTTTAAGGACCATAACATTGTATCAATCGCATCTGCTAGAAAAATGACAGGATGGATAATGAGAACCTTCAAAACAAGGGAGGCCAAGCCCATGATGACACTCTTCAGGTCACTTGTTCTATCTAGGCTGGAGTATTGCTGCACACTAACAGCACCTTTCAAGGCAGGTGAAATTGCCGACCTAGAAAATGTACAGAGAACTTTCACGGCGCGCATAACGGAGATAAAACACCTCAATTACTGGGAGCGCTTGAGGTTCCTAAACCTGTATTCCCTGGAACACAGGAGGGAGAGATACATGATTATATACACCTGGAAAATCCTAGAGGGACTAGTACCAAACTTGCACACGAAAATCACTCACTACGAAAGCAAAAGACTTGGCAGACGATGCACCATCCCCCCAATGAAAAGCAGGGGTGTCACTAGCACATTAAGAGACCATACAATAAGTGTCAGGGGCCCGAGACTGTTCAACTGCCTCCCAGCACACATAAGGGGGATTACCAACAGACCCCTGGCAGTCTTCAAGCTGGCACTGGACAAGCACCTAAAGTCAGTTCCTGATCAGCTGGGCTGTGGCTTGTATGTTGGTTTGCATGCAGCCAGCAGCAACAGCCTGGTTGATCAGGCTCTGATCCACCAGGAGGCCTGGTCACAGACCGGGCCGCGGGGGCGTTGACCCCCGGAATTCTCTCCAGGTAAACTCCAGGTAAACTCCAGGGTGGTGTTGTATAATAGGCGTTTGGGGGAAGACTGGGGTTGCCCGGCGTGCGGGATGGAGGAATCTGCTTTTCACGTTGTGTATTTCTGTGAGACTTTAGGTATGGTACGAGAGTGGTTCAGTAGGGTTTTGCGTTTGGTGGGGGGGGGGGATGTTTGTCGGTACTCTGGGCGTTGAGTTTCGATGTAGGTGGGGTTGACTTGCATGTACAACGTGCAGTGTCTTACGTTGTGGCCGATTAGATTTTCGTGTCATGGGCTATGAGGCACGTTGATGGTAACAGTAGAATTAGGGTTTTAGCGGGAACGATTTATAGGACAAAATATCGAAATAGGTTGGTATATGAGGGGAGATGGGAGAGAGACTTCCCGCCTGAATATAAAGCCTTGGAGTTACGAGATTTGAGATAGTTGTGAGTGTTCAGTGGGTAATCTAACGGGCTGGTCAGCTGTGTCTAATTGTGTTTGTCAAGTGCGTGAATGTTTTGTGATCTCTGTGTTTATGTGCGTCTCCTATGTAACGGTGATGACGATATATCTTAAGGCTTTGTATATACAGCTTTTAGGAATGTTTTTTGTCATTTATGCCTCAATACAAGTCATTGGTGTACATTTTGTATATGGTGTGCTTCCTAGCACAGTTGAAAGTTTTCTTATTTCTGTTTATATTTTATGCCGCTTTCGTGTGTTTTTTAATAGTATATGTATCTATGCAAGTATTTGTTTTTCTGTAAGCTGTGATGGAGCTTGACCTATATGTGGAAGGAGTATTTTTCAATGTTTGCCTCTCGTCAGTGTATAAGCTCACTTATAGCTGCTTGCATTATCTTTTCTTTGTGTTTATTTGAGATGTCAAATATCACAGTGTAGTTTCGTTTTGTTATATTAGATATTTCATTGTTGTGAATTGTAGCGTCATCCTGTTCCACCTTTGAACTGTAATGCCTATCCTTAGTCAATGATAATAACCTCGTGGTAGTCGCCCAAATTAACGTATTGTTGTGCTCTTTAAGGCACCTGAGTTCTTAGATTAAGTCTTGGATATGTTGTGTGTTGGCAGGCAGAAGTCATGCCTAGTTATATGCCAGATGTAGTATCATGTTGTATAATATGTGATTGCTTGTGTATGTGTGTAATTTTGTGTGCTCGTTTTTGTCACATTGTTTTTTTTTTGTATAGTCTTTATATTTTCCAGTGTTTTCATTTTATTATTTATTATATAATAATAATCTTGTTAGTGCCTGGTATCTCGTTGGCATATTATTTTATGCACCCATATTTATTTTGTACCTGAGTTTTAAATAAAAAAAAAAATAGCAATGCATGACCTACCCCTTGTTTTGACTGATAATCAATATAATACTTTGTTGTTGACTATATTAATCATGAAAGCTGAATCTTTTATATCCCATCTAGTTATGATAAACAACATTTGTTGATTTATAACCAGAAACACTATACTGGCTTTTATCACTTTGAACTCTGATATCCATATCTAAAAAGTCAGAGCTTCTTAATACTGAATAATTTACTTATTACATACTGTGTTCTGCACATAAAATTTATTCTCTTGACTTATTTCTTGACAGGAATTTATGAATCTGTATTGGTAATACTGTGGCATCATCTAATTTACCTCCTCAGGATAATGGGATCACAGGCATGGCTTCTTGTGGGAGCAGTGGCGGTGATAGCCACTGAGGTGCTGGTGGAGGCTCGGTGCCCAGTTTCCTGCAGATGTAAATATGACACAGAGGGCAGAAAGGCTGTCACTTGTGATGCTGGCAGCCTTGCAGACCCCATCCCCATATTTAATATGGACAGAGACACCAAGGTAAGGAAGGAAGTGGATAAGTAGAGGAAGAACTCAGACAGTGGGCAAAGCTAGGTGGTTTTATATTAAATAAAATTAGTAAAAATATTGTAAATATGAATTTATTCTTTAATGAAAGTGCACACACTCTGTCTGTTGATGACAACATTGATACATTTGAAAGTACAAATATATACTCAAACGGATCTCGACTTTCACTAAAGAATATTCTTTCTCTTCAACACTGAAGCAAACCTACGGCTTAAAACCCATATAAAACTTTAATAACTTTGTAGTACAGTGGTACCTCGGTATGTCTTCTCTAGAATAAATCCAACTTGGTATACGTCCTGTTTGGACGCGAAAATTTTTGCTTGGTATACGAACTTTGTTTGGAATACAACTCACGTGCTACAACTTGTATGGGTCAAAATGAGTCATGACACCACACACTACCCTTGTTTATCTCTCTCTCGAGACAAAGCCGCAACTGCCCACTAGCATCAGTACGCTCATTGCTACCATTCAGTGAACAACCCACGCTGTAACTCTCTGTGAAGAGGAGATGGAGGAAGCCCCTACTTCATTAATCAAGGAAATCTTTGCCAAGTAGATGGACATCAAAAACTTTGCAGAGAAGTACCACCCCACCAAAGCCCAAACAAACCATAATAACAAAGTCTGAAATGACCAGTCAGTGTCACATTTCAGAAACATCCTGATCAACCAGGTCCAGATAGGGAAAAGAGACTGAAGAGAGAAGGGGACTCTCCTTCAAAACAATAACATTTCCTCCTCCTCCCTCCTCAGCACTATCCTAGTAGGCACTCGACTCTTTTCAGCAAAGTAAAGTGAGGTTAAATTTGCATTTATTTCATCTAATTCTTATGCATTTATGTATTTTAGTATTAAGCATTGTTTAAATTACATATTTTAGTATTAAGCAGTCTTTAAATTATTTTATACAACCCCATCAATATATAATATGCCAATAACAATAGGATTTTTTCATGGGAATGGATTAATCGTTTTCCCTGTATTTCTTATGGGAAAATTCGTTTGGTATAAGTCCAAGGTCCTGGAATGGATTAAGCACATATACCAAAGTACCACTGTGGCTTATTTAGCAGCCGCATTCAATAAACAAGCACAAAAAACAATGAATTATTACAAAATGTTTCGGATGAATGTGCAGGGTAATGCTTACTTGACAAGAAACAAAGCCAGACTGACTCAGAACATGTGGAATGCTTTGTGTGGGCATGGGCAGGTGGACATGTTCGGTACAGCAAACTGATGAAAACCGAAGTGATGAACGAGGACTGGGACAAAATTTTGACGAAAAAAGTTGTTAAAAACCAAATTCGATGAAAACCAGGGCAAACGAAAGCTGAGGTTCCACTGTACCAGTTAATAAGTCTTTAATTTTTTATTCAGAAGTAAATATATTTTAGGTTATGAAGAAATAATTTATTACATAAGCACTATGTGTCTGTATGTTATATAGTAAGTTTGTGAATGATGTTACAGGTTCTGACAATCACATCCCCAGAGGACCAGCCCAATACACTCACAATGGGCCCCATCTTCTCAACATTATCTCAGCTTGAGGAGATTCATATTACTCGCTCCAATGTGCCAGCTATTGGCGAGAACACTTTCTGGGGCCTTAGACACCTCAAACTACTCAACCTGACTAACAACAACATTACTCTTCTTCTTGACTCTCATCTCAGGGGAATGCGAGAGCTTGAGGTCAGTTAATGATGGTCAGGTTATTGTGTTGAATGGTGTCAGTATATTGAATGATGTCAGTATGTAAGGTGATGTCAGAGTGTTTGTGTTTGAGGGTGCAGTTGGTGTTGTGGGTGAGGATGGTGTTGTGAGTAATGTCATTGTAATATATCAGTGGTATATAATACTGACAAATTGATGAATTAGACAAATGTGCAACATCTGGGTATCTTAAATTTGTAGCTGTTTCGCTATTTGATGGCTTTATCAATGCACTACAGAAACATAAATAGAAAACTGTAAAAGAGGATGTAATTATATACAGAAGACAGTAGATAATGAGGTAATCAGTCCCTCAACCTAAGAGCAGGTGTTGAACACTGTAGTCTTAATGAATCTCTCAGATTCATCAAGTCTGCAATGCTCAACACCTGCTCCTAGGTTGTCTACGATGCTCATCACCTGCTCCTAAGTTGAGAAACTCATTACCTCATCTTCTACTGTCATCCGCACAAAATTCTGCAAACCTAAGGGACCGATTACTTCTTCTTCTACAGGCTTCCATTTATGTCACTGTATTGTATTGATAAAGCCTCTGGATAGTGAAACTTCAGTAAAATTAAGATACCCAGATGTTTCACATGTATCTAATACAGTGGAACCTCAAAAATCGAACTTTCTTTGGTCCAGAAGGCTGTTCGAGTGCCACTACCGAACGAATTTATTCCCATCAGGAATAATGTAAATTAGATTAGTCCATTTAAGACCCTCAAAAATACACTTATAAAAGCACTTACAAAAATACACTTACATAATTGGTTGAGTTGGGAGCAGTTCGATTTTTGAGGTTCCACTGTATCAGTATGTTGTCGTTGAAATGCAGTCGTGGCTCGTGATGCCAGTAATACTTTTACGTACGTACAATCATACTGCATCAAACTTGTTTTTAATAATTTTTTATCTTGTTTCAAAAAAAAAAAATGCTTATTAATACATTGAAAACAACATAGAACAGATTTTTCCTGTAATATATTTGTCATTTGCAAATTATTGTAGGGTAAGGTTGATGAAGTCATACAACTGGCAGTGAGCATCTGGGTGGACCGCAGCTCTGCAGCTCCTATGGATGAGCCACCACTGTTGAACTGAGCATGTTAACCCTTTCAGGGTCTAGAGGCCAAATTTCAAAGTGTGCACCAGTGTCCAAGAATTTTCAAAAAATAATTTTGTTATTTTTTCTTATGAAATGGTAGAAAATCTTTTTCTGAAGGTAATAAAACAAAAAGTACAAAATTTGATGGAAAATTGATGAAATTATGCTCTTGCGAATTCGATATTTATGCATCGGTGATTTTGCCGGCTTTGACTCCCATTTTAGGCCAATTACATTATTCCAGTCGACCAATTATTCCAGTTGGCCAATTTAATGCAAAATTCAGAATATTCCAATTTCAAAATAGAGCCCAGAATAAACAATGCAGTCATTCCTGGCATTAAACTAACATTTCCTCTTTTCATTAGTTACATTTTGAGGCTTTACAAATGAATTCCATTTTGATTTTTTATTCACATAATGAATTTTTATTCAAACCAAAAAATAGAAGATTTACTGTTATGCAATATTGTAATAATTGTATAAATAATATCACCACATTTGTGAACGTATATTAGACCCATCAGCTGGTGTGTATTAGACATGTGAGGTCACTTGTTTATTCAAACATCGGCAAAAATTTAACATTTCCGCTACTTTGAGCTCAGTTTCAAGCCATTTCCAGTATTAAAACCAATCAAAATCATCTCTATTTCTGTAATATATCTTCCTTTCTATCTAATTAGACCAAGAAATCACAAGTACAACTATAAAAAACATACGAAAAAACACTGCAAAGTCGCTGTTTTAATCGAAAATTACAGTCTCAGTTTTTTCTCTCATTATGCACTGTGTGCTGCAGGATTTGTTTTATGTGGTACACACATACCACATAGATGTATTCTCTCATATCTAGGCCCAAATTTACCGCTCACAGCTTATCAAAGTGAGCTGAGCTCATGGCATAGATCTACGGTTTGGATCCTCAGTGTAAAGCCGTAGATCTATGGTACGGACCCTGAAAGGGTTAAAGGTGAAGTGGTTGTAATGAGTGATAAATGAGTTCATTGTTGGTTATGCCAGTGTACTGTAGTGTGAAGCTATCACCAATCTGTGCAGTATTATGCAACACAAATATAATTAATCAAATTATTTAAAGGAAATCCTTTCATATTTTTGCTTAAATTCTAACCCCCATTTTACTATTCTATTAGGTACTCCACCTGGATGACAATCATATAAATACTGTTGCATCAGCAACATTCAAGTCCCTGGAGAGTCTGGAGATCTTAACAATTGCCAGGAATAAGCTGCGGGGTTTGGCACCCAGGATGTTCCTGCTCCTCAACCGACTCAAAATGCTTGATCTTAGTGGTAATGCCATTCAGGATCTAGATCCTGAGGTGTTGAAAGATGTTCCTGCTTTAAGGACGTTAAGATGCTCTGAGTGTGGCTTATCGAGAGTAAAGTCTCTTGTGTATCGGGTCATTCCACTGTTGGAAACACTTGACCTTCGCAACAATTATATCACATCACTGGCCCCTGAGGAATATATGGACCTAAACAACCTCAGACGACTTTTCTTGGATGGCAACAGAATTTTTGAGTTAAAGGATTATACATTTCAAGGTTTGGCTTTACAGCACCTAGGATTGGCTAGAAATAGGATGGAGAAAATTTCAAGAATGGCCTTCGAGGACTGTTCTGTACTGAGCATCGATTTTTCATCCAACAAGCTGCAGTATTCTTCTTTTAGACATCTGAGCCCTGTCATCACTCATATGCATGACATTAACATTGCTAATACCCACATCAGTCCAGAACATGTTCGTGAGTTTCTCAAGCGAGCTACAAGACTGAAGAAACTCAATTTGAGCCGTCTGAATCTTAACCAACTCTTACCCAACATGTTTACTTCTCAGACCAAATTGGAGGTGCTTAATTTATCAAGCAATGGTCTCCAATACATTCCTGTGGACATTCTTCACTCCTTACCAAGTCTGCATACCTTGGATCTACGCAGGAATGAATTCCGTGGAATGCCAGAGATTATTTTACGTCGTCTAGATCGAATTCATAATGTAGAATTAGATGCAAATCCTTGGTCGTGTGACCAGTGCCATATACCTTATCTGAAAATTTGGCTTAATAATTCCCGGAGTTTCAGGAAAGCCTGCTACCCAGATGTGGATGCTCCCAAGTGCCTCAAGTGCCAGTCACCCATGGAGATGTATGACAAGCCAATAATTGAAATTGAAGGCTTGGAATTACAACCTTGCCCAGAAGGAACCTTTGATGTTGCAGCTGCAAGTGCTAGCTCTTCGAATTTCTCACTTGTGCTTGCAGTAGTAACGGCATCAGTGGTAATCATCCTCCTGCTCATTATTTTGGTCACAGGTATTATCATGTACAACCGCCATACTGCTTTCTACTACACCCATGAAAACGACTCCAGACATCACTTCTATGAGAACCCAGCCCTCCACTCCGATCACACTGATATTACTCTGGATGAAGACCTGGATCACCTTCCCGAGAAGGACTCAAGAATAGATGGACAGCACAACTCCTCCAGAGATGTAACCAATGCTGACAAAGCAGAAATTCCATTGGGAGGTAAGAAACAAGTTGTTGATAACAATGTGGTTGTGATTGATGAATTGATAAGGAATAAGAATGGAAAGTCATCACATAATGGAAAATCCTGAGGATACTTTTATGATACTAATTATGACAGAAAAAATGTTTGATCCTAAGCATTTATAACACTGCTTGCTAATTAGATACTTTTCTAATTGAGAATAATAGAAAATGAGTTCCTCATTGGTTTAAACCAAGATAAAAGAGGAATCAGCAGTCATAATTTGTGGAGCTTGGCGTGTGAACGTAATATATCCCAACTACCATGACTTGCTAGCACATCACAGTAGTGTTTATAATGGGGCAGGCATGTAATCTGCTTGCCCTCACCCAAAGCTGCTTTACATTTTGTCTAAATGGAACTTTAGTCCCACAATTAAATGTGTATTATATTCCCCAGAACATTTTTGCACCCCTTTGTACATTATAGTACAGACATACACATTTGTAATGTAGTTTAAAACTTTCCATATATTGTGAACCAAGTTCTGTCAGAGGATGATACTCTAGGCCTTTCAGATGGATAAATATTGTGTTAAACATATGAGTGATTTATAGATATATTTTTGAGGTTTTTCTTTAATCTGCTCTGTGTGTATGTATAAATATATATAATTTTTTTTTCAACAAGTCGGCTGTCTCCCACTGAGGCCGGGTAACCCAGATAGAAAGAAAAACCCAAAAAAGAAAGAAAAATACTTTCATCATCATTCAACACTTTCACCATCACTCATACATAATCACTGTATTTGCAGAAGTGCTCAGATACAACAGTTTAGAAGTCCCTCCAAACTGCCAATATCCAAACCCCTCCTTTAAAGTGCAGGCATTGTACTTCCCATTTCCAGGATTCAAGTCCTGCTAACTGGTTTCCCTGGACCCTTCAAAAAATATTACCCTGCTCACACCCCAACAGCTCATCAGGTCCCAAAAATCATTTGTCTCCATTCACTCCTATCTAACACGCTCATGCATTCTTGCTCGAAGTCCAAGCCCCTTCCCCACAAGACCTCCTTTACCCCCTTGCTCCAACCTTTTCTAGATGACCCCCCTACCCCGCCTTCCTTGCCCTATAGATTTATATGCTCTTCAAGTCTTTCTACTTTGTTCCATTCTGTTTAAATGACCAAACCACCACAACAAACCCTCTTCAGCCCTCTGATTAATACTTTTAGTAACTCCACACTTCCTCCTAATTTCCACATTCCGAATTCTCTGCATAATATTTACACCCTTAGACAGGACATCTCCACTGCCTCCAGCCGCCTCGCTGCAGCATTTACAATCTAAGCTTCATGCCCATATAAGTGTGTTGGTACTACTACACCATACATTCCCATTTTTGCTTCCATAGATAACGTTTTTTGTCTCCACAGATACATCGACACACCACACACCTTTTTTCCTTCATCAATTCTATGATTAACCTCATCCTTCATAAACCCATTCACTGACAAGTCAACTCCCAAATATCTGAAAACATTCACTTCTTCCATACCCCCCTCTCTCCAATGTGATATCCAATTTTTCTTTATCTAAATTGTCTGATACCCTCATCACCTTACTCTTATCTATGTTCACTTTCAATTTTCTACCTTCACACATCCTCCCAAACTCGTCCACTAACCTCTGCAACTTTTCTTTAGAATCTCCCATAAGCACAGTATCATCAGCAAAAAGTAACTGTGCCAACTCCCATTTTGTACTTGATTCCCCATAATTTAATCCCAACCCTCTCCAGAACACCCTAGCATTTACTTCTTTTACATCCCCATCAATAAATATATTAAATAACCATGATGACATTACACATCCCTGTCTAAGACCTACTTTTACTGGGAAGTAATATTCTTCTCTCCTACATACCCTAACCTGAGCCTCACTATCCTCATAAAAACTCTTTACAGCATTTAATAGTTTACTACCTATTCCATATACGTACTTGCCACATCTGCCACATTGCTCCCCTATCCACTCTATCATATGCCTTTTCTAAATCCATAAATGCAGTGAAAGCTTCCCTACCTTTATCTAAATATATTTATATATATATATATATATATATATATATATATATATATATATATATATATATATATATATATATATATATATATATATATATATATACATATATATATATATATATATTAATATATATATATATATATATATATATATATATATATATATTTATATATATACAGTGGACCCTCGCCTAACGAATGCATCGCATAACGTTAAATTCGCCTAACGATACATTTTAATGCTAACATTTTGCCTTGGCTAACTAAAAAACTCGCCTAACGATATTCGTTCTCGGGTACCAATTAATATCGTTAGGTGAGGGTCCACTGTATATATATATATATATATATATATATATATATATATATATATATATATATGTATATATATATATATATATATACAGTAAACCCCTGACTTACGATATTAATTCATTTCAGAAGGCTGTTCAGGTGCCGTTACCAAATGAATTTGCTCCCATAAGGAATATTGTAAATTAGATTAGTCTGTATCAGACCCCCAAAAATACACTCACAAAAGCACTTACAAAAATACACTTACATAATTGTTCTAGTTGGGAGCTGATTGTAAGTCGGGGGTCTACTGTATATATTCTCCATGGGGAAGTGGAACAGAATTCTTTCTCCGTAAGCCATGCGTGTCGTAAGAGTTGACTAAAATGCCGGGAGCAAGGGGCTAGTAACCCCTTCTCCTTTACAAATTACCAAATTTAAAAAGAAAAACTTTTGTTTTTCTTTTTGGGCCACCCTGCCTTGGTGGGATACGGCCGGTTTGTTGAAAAAAAATATATATATACACATATAAATACAAACATCTTTACATATACATACATACATTATTAGACTGTCAGTTAATATGTGATCCTCTATAACATTATTGATATAAGAATGAAAAACTAATATGAAGGACCTAGAAATGATAATATCAAAGGAGCTTACTTTCAAAGATCACAACAATGTATCTACCACATCTGCTAGAAAAATGCTAAGATGGAGAATGAGAACCTTCAGAACTAAGGATGCCAAGCCCATGATGATTCTCTTCAAATTGCTTGTTCTCTCTAGGCTGGAATGTTGCTGTACACAAACAGTGCCTTTCAAAGCAGGTGAAATTGCTGACCTGGAGAATGTATAGAGAACCTTCACAGCACATATAAGTATGATAAAACATCTAAATTACTGGGAACGGTTGAAGTTCCTTGACTTGTATTCCCTGAGATGCAAGCGAGAAAGATACATGATAATATACACTTGGAAAATCCTAGGGGGGTTAGTATCAAATTTCCACATGAAAATCATTCCCTCTTCAGGTATACTCCTACGAAAGCAAAAGACTTGGCAGGCAGTGCAACATCCCACCAATGAAAAGCAGGGGTGCCAGGAGTATGCTAAGAGACAAAACAATGAATGTCATGGGCCCAAGACTGTTCAACTGTCTCCCAGCATACATAAGGGGGATTACCAATAGACCCCTGGTTGTCTTCAAGGAAGTGCTGGACAGGCATCTAAAGTCAGGCACCTGACCATCTGGGCTTTGGCTTGTACTTTGGTTTGTGTGCAGCCAGCATTAACAACCTGGTTGATCAGGCTGTGGTCCACCTCAGATTGAGCCACAGGAGTTTTGGCCCCCGAAACTCTTTCTAGGTATACTCAAGGTATTGGAAAATTTTGGCATATTTTCAATCATTACTCTAAACAGGCAACAAAGGGGCATTTGCCTGTACATCACAGAGTCGCTCATATGCACAGAACTACTAAACACCTCAAATGATGTAGTTGAAGTTTTGGTAGTAACAATTGAAAACCAAAACCTTCTTGTCATTGTGGTGGTATACAAGCCTTCAGATGCAACTTCCCAGCAATTCCAGGAGCAGTTTGTAAAAATTAACCACTGTCTAGAAAATCTTCCAACTCCCGCCCCAAATATCTTACTACTAGGAGATTTCAACTTGAGACACCTAAAATGGAGGAGTATAACAAACAGTGTTTTAGCAGAGATCACCCCAGGAGGCAGCTCAGATGAAAATTCACACACATACGAACTATTAAATCTCTCCACCAAATTCACCTTAAACCAGCAAATAGTAGAGCCTACAAGACTAGAAAATAGGCTGAACCTCATCTTTACTAACAATGACGATCTGTTACGTAATATAACAGTATCAACAGATCACAACATAATAGAGGTACAGATGTATGCACAGGGCTCCTGACCAGCAAAATGTGAGAAGTCATGAAGGTCTCTTCATGAAATTTAATTTTAGTAACAAAAACATACAATGGGATCAAGTAAACCATGTCCTAAATGAAACAAGCCGGGAAGATATCCTAAACAACACGGATCTGAGCATTTACCTTAAAAGAAGAATTCTGTGGTTCTTGAGATCTGCTCAAGACACATTCTACTAAGAAAAAGAAACAAAAGATATAAACTATAAAGAGACACCCCTATACAGACGAAGGTGAAGAGTCACAGAGCTGCTGAGTGGGGCCAATATATCTGAAATACGAAGGGAGGCATTAGTCAGTGAAATTGCAAATATCAAACTTAAGCTGAAGGACAGGAAGAACTAAAAGCCATAATGGAAGTTGAAAAAAAAGACTTCTTTTCTTATGCCAAATCTAAGGAAAAAACAACATCCAGTATTGGGCCCCTGCTTAGGCGGGATGGAACATATACAGATGACAGCCAAGAAATGAGTGAGATACTAAAGTCCCAAAATGACTTAGTGTTCAGCGAGCCACTGCCCAGACGAAGGATCGACAACCCAAATGAATTCTTTATAAATGAAACCCAGAATTTGGTTATTTCAAAAATCTTGGATATTGTCCTAACTCCACAAGACTTTGAAGAGGCAATAAATGACATGCCCATGCACTCTGCCCCAGGCCCAGACTCGTGGAACTCCATGTTCATCAAGAATTACAAGAAGCCCCTATCGTGTGCCTTCAGCATTTTATGGAGAGGGAGCATGGACACGGGTCATCCCACACACTAAAAACAACAGACATAGCCCCACTCCACAAAGGTGGCAGTAAAGCAATTGCAAAGAACTACAGACCAATAGCACTAAGATCCCATATCATAAAAATCTTTAAAAGGGTTCTAAGAATCAAGATCGCCAACCACCTAGATACCCATCAGTTACACAACCCAGGGCAACACGGGTTCAGAGCAGGTCACTCCTGCCTGTCCCAGCTACTGGACCACTAGTGTGATGACAAGGTCCTGGATACTGTAGATGATAAACAAAATACAGATGTAGTATACACAGACTTTGCAAAAGCTTTTGACAAGTGTGACCATGGTGTAATAGCACACAAAATGCGTGATAAAGGAATAATGGGAAAAGTTGGTAGATGATTCTGTAACTTCCTGACAAATAGAACACAAAGAGTAATAGTAAACAGAGTAAAGTTCCAGGCAGCCATGGTAAAAACCTCTGTTCTCCAAGGCACACTACTCGCTCCCATTTTATTCCTCATCCTCATTTCTGACAGAGATGTATGCCATAGCTCCGTGTCTTCCTTTGTGGACAACACCCAGATTACCATGGGAGACCTCCATCGAAGACACCGCAAGACTCCAAGTGGACATCAGCCAAATCTTCAAATGGGCCACTCAAAACAATATGAAGTTCAACGAGGAGAAATTGCATCTACTCAGATATAGGAAACTTGAGGAAATTAAAAATGTATCAGGGTATACAAAAAATTCTAACCATACAATAGAGCGGAAAATTAATGTGAAGGACCTGGGAGTGATAATGTCAGAGGACCTTGCCTTCAAAAACCACAACAATGTATCTACCTCATCTGCTAGGAAAGTGATAGGATGGATAATGAGAACCTTCAAAACTAGGGATGCCAAGCCCATGATGATTCTCTTCAAATCACTTGTGCTCTCTAGGCTGGAATAGTGCTGTACACTAACAGCCCCCTACAAAGCTGACGACATTGCAGACCTGGAGAGTGCACAAAGAACTTTCACGGCAGACATAAGTATGATAAGGCACCTAAATTACTGGGAATGGTTGAAAGTCCTTGATCTGTATTCCCTGGAATGCAGGTGAGAGAGATACATGATAATAGGCACACTTAAGAGTAACTCAGGTTAGATCACTGACAGTGATAAGGAAATGTGTGAACTTTTCAGTACCTACTTCCTCTCAGTTTTTACTTGGGAAGATGCTAGTGAAATTCCAAAAATAATAAATTATGTAGAACAGGACGATAACAAACTATGCACGATTAGGGTAACTAGTGACATGGTCCTCAGACATATAGAGAAATTAAAACCTAACAAATTCCCAGGCCCTGATGAACTGTTTGTAAGGGTTTCAAAGGAATGTAAAGTGGAACTTAGCATACCTTTGGCTAATCTTTTCAACATATCACTACAAACTAGCATAGTGCCAGACTAGTGGAAAATGGCAAATGTAATACCTATTTACAAGGCAGGTGACAGGTCCTTAGCTTCAAACTATAGACCAATAAGCCTTACTTCCATGGTTGGTAAATTTATGGAATCAATATTTGCCAAAGCAATTCGTAGCCATCTTAAAAGGCATAAATTGATTAATGAATCTCAGCACGGTTTTACAAAGGGGCGTTCCTGTCTTACGAATTTACTAATTTTCTTCACTAAGGTATCTGAGGAGATAGATCATGGTAATGAATGTGATATTGTGTATATGGACTTCAGTAAGGCTTTCGATAGAGTTCCACATCAGAGACTATTGAGGAAACTTAAGGCACACGGAATAGGAGGAGAAATTTTTTCCTGGGTAGAGGCATGGTTGACAGATAGGCAGCAGAGAGTTTGCTTAAATGGGGAGAAATCAGAATGGGGCATGTCACAAGTGGTGATCCACAGGGGTCAGTGTTGGGCCCCTTGTTGTTCACAATTTACATAAACGACATAGATGAGGGAATAAATAGCAACATAAGCAAATTTGCTGATAACACCAA